CTGACAAATGGTCTAATCTCATCTGTTGTTTCACCCCAATATACCTTACACTCTAGCTGCCAAGTGACTCATAGTTCCCAAATGAAGCATACCACACCATTCCCATTTTATTCGCTGCCCAGAATGCTCTCCTCATCACTTATTCTCACCTTTGCTGTTTCCAGCAAACTCCTACTAATATCTCAGAACTCATCACAAGTGTCTTCATCTCTTTGGAATCTTCTCTGACAAACCCTAGCATAGTTGATCATTTTTTCTTTTCACACATAGTTAGTTCAATTGTATTTGTATGTATTACACTCTATAACAATAATTTGCTTGCATTTCTGTCTCCCCCACTAAAATACGAGCTTCTTCAGGGCAGGAACTGTTTATTATTCATCTCTATCTCCAGTACTTGACAGAGTTCCTAACAAATAGGTGTATGATGATGACAATCATGTAGTAATAACAGATTACATTTATTTAGTACTGTGTGCCAGATATTATTCAACATAATTTACATTTATTAATTCATTTAATCATCACAATGTTAGTTGGCACAAAATGATTAAATAGCTTCCCCAAAGTTGCCCGACAGTTGACAAAGCTGGGATTTGATCACAGGCAGTCTGGCCCCAGAGTCTGTGTTCTTAACTACTAAGTAAATACAGCGTCACGTTTATAAATAACTGGTTGCACACATAAATTAATGAAATTTATAATTTCATTCCTTTCTAGACCTAAGCTGCTTTTACCCTTTTCTTATGTAGCATTTATTTTAGGGAGTTATGTACATTGTTCTATTTGTTTGGGTTGTCATAGATACTAATATAATTTTGATGTGATATTGAAATAATTCCCTCTGGTAATTTTTCCTTTTTAACAAAGTGGAAACGGTATGAAATCAACTATATAATAAAGGGAAATTTGCTGGGAAAAAATACGCCAAATTTTCATTCCTGCTGCTTCTAGAGTTGTTGCCCCTATGAAGAGTGATGAAGATGATGGTCTCAGTATTTTAGGCAGATGGAGAGTCGTCAAAACCTGGAAGTGCTGTACCCAGCTTTAAAGTTTTATTGTATTGGATACATATGGCTTCCTAACAGGCATAATCTAAAATTGTTTAGGAGAGCAAATGGGTTTATATTTGACAGCTAGGGAACAATGCCAGCTTTTCTTTCTGTCTTCTAGCATGCCAAATATATTTAAAAATATAAGCCATATTTTTTAATAACTAAAAGTAACCAATAAACTATACATTTTCTTATTTTAGTAATAGTAATTTCTGTTTGTGGTGAGGAAGAATTTTATTTGTTGAGTGTCTTAAGTATTTAATAAGGATGAAGGAGCCTAAGGGATTTACTGGTAGTTTTTAATTAAGACATAACAGCTCTGGTCTCTGGCTCTCTACTCCACCATTTTCACAATGTGATACTCTCAAGGAAAGCCTTCACCATATGTGTTCAAGGAGCCTAAGGGATTTACTGGTAGTTTTTAATTAAGACATAACAGCTCTGGTCTCTAGCTCTCTACTCCACCATTTTCACAATGTGATACTCTCAAGGAAAGCCTTCACCATATGTGTTCCCTGGATTTTGGACTTCCTAGCCTCTGAAACTGATCCTGAGATAACAGAAAGGATGGGAGCAGAAACCAGAGAGCCTTGATTAGACCCCTCCGTGCTGACAGCCGGGGCTGCTCATATCCTCACCACCTTTGTCCAGCCCTGTGACATTCTCAAGCCCCAGGTTCTCCCTGTAGTCCAGCCTACTCCAGCATAGCAAAACCCAAAATACAACCAAGGAGAATACGAGTCTGCAGCTTCTCCTGTCATCGGAAATGCCAGGCCAAGAAGCAACCTGAGGCTGGTACCAGATGCAGCTGTCCCAGAATCAGCAGAGCCAGTGGCAGCAGCAGTAGCAGAGGAACCAGCGGCAGCGGCAGCAGAGGAGGAGCCGGCAGCAGCGGCAGAAGAGGAGGAGCCAGCGGCAGCGGCAGCTGCAGCAGAGGCGTCCCCAACCAATAAAATGCTAGGAATAAATCAACACTTTTCAATAACAACACAGACTTCATGAATATGACCCCAAAAGCATGGGTAACCAAAGGAAAATTAAACAAATGGGATTATATCAAACTAAAAAGCTTCTGCACAGCAAGAAACAATTAACAGAGTTAAAAGACAACTAACAGAGTGGTAGAGAATATTTGCAAAATATACATCTGACAAAGGATTAATATCCCGAATATACAAGGAACTGAATCAACTTTACAACAAAAAAACAAGTAACCCAATTAAAAAATGGGCAAAAGAGCTAAGTAGGCATTTCCCTAAGGAAGATATACAAATGGCCAACAGACATATGAAAAAATTCTCAACATCACTCAGCATCTGGGAAATGCAAATCAAAACTACACTGAGATACCATCTCACCCCAGTTAGGATGGCTAAAATCCAAAAGACTCTGAATGATAAATGCTGGCGAGGTTGCAGAGAAAAAGGAACTCTCATACATTGTT